CGTGAAGTTCTTGTCACACAGCTGTCCTTTGAGATCTCTGCAATGGAAATTTCATTCTGGCAGGAAATGGAAATGAGGACGAATGAGCTACCTCCCCGACTCACCTGTGTGGAAGGCAGTCTGAGGACTCAGGGCCGGTGGGGGGTCCCCCACCCCAGCCCTCCCGCGTTCCCACTGAGTGTCTAGCAACAAGGCGGGGGACGGATCCGCGGCGACACACCGCCACCCCAACATCTCTACGCAGACTGCTGTTTGAAAAAGTTGTCCAGGTGGCACCCTGGAGCGTGTGGACGTCCAAAGAGGTTTTTTCAATCTGGGAGTTTTTTACATCTCTTTGATGCCTTATTTCTCTTTGCTCAGTGTTTTGTTCTGACATCAGGCCTCTTTGTGGTCCATCTCAAAGGGATGGATTTTCATTTTCACTACAGAAATATTTATTTCAAACACCCAAGATGCCCTTGAAGTAAAATAAATACTTAAAAAAATCAAAAATCTCTTTGAGGTTCAGAGGAAAACCGTCCGCTGAGAGGTGGCAAGTGTCTTGGGTCCTTCGGAAGGACTTTTCGACCTCGCCCCGGGCCTGCTGCTTCTTTCTAGAAGAATGCGCTGGCTCTGGGCTCGTGGGAGGCTCCGCAGCAGCCGGGAACGCTTTCCTCAGCAGTCCTCTGGGGCGAGCTTTCAAGGCAGGGCTTGAAATAATAAACGGCATCTTCCCTCCCATCGCCTCTGAAAAATAATTGGCCTTTTCATTTTAACACTGAAAAGAGATAAGGGCTCCGAAAACACGCGAAGGTCAGGGTGGCCGCCAGCCACTCGGCTTCCCCACAGCCCCTGGGCGAGGCGCTCGGCAGCCTCCGGGTCTGCACCAGGGAAGTGGCCGCCTCTGGTTCTTCTCGTCAGGCAGATCAGAGTCGCGCTCAGAAGGAGGAAAACACGAGTGGATGGAGCCGCAGTACTCGGCGTCATCGCGGAGCGTGAATCTATGCTTGACAGGAGGTGACACGTCTAACCACAAAGCGAGAATGAATGCTCACACTCTGAGGGAGGCACCCCAAATAAACACACCCCATTATTAAAGCTGAACACGCAAAACCACTTGGGTTGCCCATTTTGAACCCCTATCGATATCTGGAACGTTTGATCAAATTTTCACGAGTGTCGATCCGAGCACGCGTGTCAGGGTCTGACCTGGAGGTGACCACTGGGTCGGGCGCCCTCAGCAGTCCCTCCTAGGGCAGCCGCCAGGGGGGACCTCGTGGCACTTTGGAGGAAAGAGCTGGGTTTGGATTTCAGAACATTCATTTGCCGTCTGTGTGATCCTCAACGAATTCTTCTGAGCTCACCTCCCCCTTGTAACCCTGGGCTTGGGAGTCCCTGCCTCCGAGGCTGCTTCAAGAAAAGGGGCTCGTGTGCGGCCTCACAGGGAAGGCGGGATAAATCTTCATTTTCTCCTTTCTCCACCCTGATTGAACGGCACCTGAGGATAGATCACCTCCCGGCTCCGGCTCGCCGCGGGTGGCAGTGATGTATACAGAGCGTGATCATCAATTACACATAATTAACAATCAGTTTCACGGGGATGTACCCCGACGTCTGTGGTAATCTCTCAGAACGTGCCTACTGGGGGTGAGGCGCGCGGGACGCGAGCAGAGCGCTGTGAAGCCCGGGCCAGGAGACGGACGTTTCTCCCCCAGAGCACAGCAGAACCTCAGCGCTGTCGGGACAGAGGCAGGTGGCACTTCACCCTGCTGCCGAAGGGGAGTCTGCGCCAGGCCCACGAGGCCGCATTTCGCTTGGAACGTTCCTTCTCCCCTTTGGCGTCATCATTTTTCCTGTTGTACCTTCTTAAAAAAGTAGTTAAAGTTGAAAATTTTCTTACATCGCTGTTCATTTTGTACCATCTCTGACCCCTCAGGTGCAGTCCCCGAGGCTCTGCCCCCGCCGCGGCCCTGGTCCATCGCCGCCGGCCGTGCTCTCCCCGCGGCGGTGCCTTCCCAGCTGCTCACTGACCCGGCGCAGCCCCGCGGCATGCACTGTTGCCTCAGCTTTCCTGGGGGACGGTACCACCTTCTCCTTTTTGTACAAATGTCATTTATCGTAAAGGAAAACAGCACACACATGCACACGCACACGTATGTGCACACGCCACCTGTAACTGCTGTTAACCCCACGAGCTCCCCGTCCTCTGTGTGCAGACACGGGGCTGTCACCCCCTCCAGCCCACCGGGGTGGAGACGACAGGAGTGACCGGAGTCCGCTGAGCTTTGGCCGCGGGCCAGAGCTGCGCTGGCAAATGCCTCGCGAGCCAGGGCCGGCCCCTCCCCATCACAGCGACAGCCCCAGCTTGTCTGACAGGGTCTGGCACAGCCGTGGTCATTTAGAAATGTTTGTTGACCACGTGACCGTCATAATGTTTATCCTTTCTAACAACTGAAGAGGCAGGTGTCACTGCGATCACCACATGACAGCCAAGAAGCCGGAGCCCAGGGCCACCTGGAGCCAGAGGGTGGGCTGGGGCGGAAGCAGGGCTTCTCCCTCAGGAGCCGGGGAGCTGTGAAGATTCGTTAATTTAGGTGTCGATTGGACAGGCTCAGGAGTACCCGGATATACCTGGGTGAGCATTATTCTGTGTGCCTGTGAGGGGGTTTCTGCACGAGAGTGACATTTGGCTCAGTGCACTGCATAAAGCAAATTGGCCTCCCCCGTGGGTGAGCCCCACCCAACCCACTGAGGGCTTGAACAAAGAGGCTGAGTAAGAAAAAAAAACTCATGCTCTTTTGTGTGACTGTCCTGGAGGTGAGACCAGGTTTTCTCCTGCTTTGGAAGTGAACTGGGCTGGAGCTCACCCCGCTGGCTCTCCTGGCCCTCAGGCCTCAGGCCCTAGTGTCCTGGCCTGCTGCTAGCAGACCCTGGACTTCTCTGCCTGCACAGTCCATGAGCCAGTTCCTTGAAGTAAATCTCTAACTTATAGCTCTGTCTCCATAGGTGCAGACCGACAGATACAGGTATATGCATATTTCAAATACTAAAAATACTTTCTGATCGTCCATCTGTCCGTCCATCCATCCATCCATCCTCTATCTCCTAGGGGTTCTGTCTCTTTAGCGCTGAGACTGGCTCAGTGAACTAAGAGTCTTTGATTCTCATGTCGACCAGTTTGCTGCTGCCAGTCCAGTCATTTCCATTTCATCACAGCACAAGAGTCTCCTGCTCTCTGAACTCTCTCTAAACTTGCTGATTCTCCCTGTGGCTCTCTTTCGTCACTAATTCACATGTTCCATTTATTACCCGGGCTGTTATTAAATAACATTAGTGCCACTGATTCTGGAAAATACAAGCAAGTAATAAAGGGTTTACATGATTTGTGTAGTTGTGAGTTCCTCATCAGAAAGTGGTTCCCCAGGACGACGGCCACAGAGATAAAGACTCTGTAGTCAGCCTACTTCTTGGGGAGACAAGGCCCCCCCAGAGGGAGGCACAAGGAAAGCGCCAGGAAGCCCTCACTGTAGAAGAGTGCAACGGAAGATGATCTAGAAATTTTCCTTTGGACGTCTCAGGCCACAAAGTTCATTTAACTCTAAAATTCTAAACCCGGGGTTTCCAAACATGGATAATACATTAGGTTTCAGAAGTGAACACATCACTGGAAGCAAGCGCTAGGAACAGGTCTTTATCCTCTAAAACAACTTCATCGGGTATTTGGCAAATGCTCACTCACTACGTGATACTTCTGCTTGTGGGCATGTAAAGTTAAAAGTTTCTGGAGGAGGTAGGAACACGGAGTATTTTAGGCTATTTGAATTAGCAATAATTAGCAAGCGTCAGTGGAGCATTAAAAACAAATTCACAAAACTGCACTTAATACACATGGCTTTTAAAGAACAAACAGAATTTGCAAATCAAGAAACATATTTTGGGCCTCCCTGGTGGTTCAAGCAGTTAAGACACAACCTACGAAGCAATCCGCAGCCACTGTAGTACGAGTTCGATCCCCGGCCAGGGAGCTACCCACAGGGTGCAGCAGACCCCTCCTCTCTCCCCGCTGCTCCCCTCAGCAGTGGGTTTCAGTAGATCCACCTGTTCTGCTCCCCACTCTGTCTCTGGTGAATCCTGTCACCCCCCCACACCTCTGGCCTGTACCCCAGTTCTTGTATGCATAAATAAATAAATCTTTAAAAAAAAGGAAACATATTTTAATAAGTTTCATGTTTAACTTGCCTGCAAAGAAAACTCAAATAATCTTGTGCAATGAAAATACAAATATCTACAGTTAGAGCAAACTAGTATTACTCATTTCTCATAATATTTTCCTCTCTTATAAAATAAAAAGTTGCTGAATTCCTCCAAAAGGAATTTGTATTTAATAATATGATCATTTAGTGTAAAATAATATTTACATGGGCATATGACTAATTCCAACTTGCAACCACAGTGGTGTTAAATTTTTTAAAATAAACTAGTTTTAAATTATTTATTTTTTTGTGATTATACACAGCAACCTAGATAAAATTTAAATTCAGAAAACAAATTATCGCCAAGAGAACAGAAACTCCCCCAAAGTAATTTTAATAAATGAAGTTATTAATCAAATAATTAATTTAGCTGTAATGGGGGGAAAAAGAAATTAAATGCCAATATAAAGCAACTCTAAATTGCTCAAATCCCAGAATGGCTAATCCAAGAAGGCCAACGATTTTAACAAAATATTACAAACCTGAATATAACCCAACGCATTAAAAACAGGTCTTGCTGGGAAACCTCTACTCTAGTTTCTTCAAACGTGCTAACTGCATACACATATTTACCTGAATACAGGCCCCCCCACTGGAAGAGAAGAGCAAAGGGACACAGCAGTTTGCTTCTGTCCACTTGGTTCCACATTTTCACCAGATGAGCGACATCGACACCCTGCTTGGGTGAATTCTAATGTGAGCAGTGTCTCTGCAAACCAGAATTCTAAGCCAAAGATACTTGCAGAAGAAGAAAGACTATGAGCTTACCGTATAGAGCTCGTTAAGAACCTTCATTAAATCCTCATGAAGCTGGAAGGCAATCTCTTTGCTCTGTAATTAAGAAGAAATTAAAAAGGAATATTTAGAAATGGAATAGAATTTTGTTTCTAAATTATTTACATCATACAAAGTCCACTGACTGAAAATAAAAGTCCCTATGTGAGAAGCAGGCGAGTGTGGCCTTTGCTGAATAGCCTTTATACATATTAGATGCAGCAGTGGTCAGCACGGCTGGACAGAGGCAGACATGTCAACGGCCTGCATGGCTCTCCTGCCATCCGAATCAGACTTTACCAAGAAGACAGAGAGAGTTGCCAGAGCAAAGCATCTTGTTTGCTCAGAAAAGACTGACAGAACCAAAGTCGTTCAAGGATGAATTTGTGTCCTGTCTCCTACACTGATATCATCACAAAGGAATGTTGCTGTGTGACTCCCCAAAAGTCTGAAAACAAAGGGAAACTGACTTTCTCTTTCCAAAAGAAATACTTTTGATTATAATGTTAATTTTCCTCTGCATTTATTTATTTATTTTCATGGAGACCAAAAGCAGAGTTTTACTCTTTACCCAGCTGGCCAGTCACATCTGAAATATTCTTTCCTTGGCTAATTCTGAGTTTGGTCGAAGATTATTGGAACTTTTTTTTTTCAGCAAAATCTATAAGTTTGTTTAAAGGACATCATTTACTCAAATTTCATGTATATATATCTCTATATTTATATTTATGTATTCCCTGTTTTGCAGTCACCCTAGGCAGCTACAGAGAATGGAAATCACGTGTGACGCAGCTTGATCTGCACTTTGAGACGACAGAGCCCTGGTCGCTTGTGCGCGGCCAGCGGTCAGCGTTCGGGACCAGGGTGTACCTTCATCTGCCCGGTGAGTGGAAATGTGCACGGGGCGTGGGTGCAGGGCCGGCACGAGGGGGAGGTAGGTGGCTGCTCCTGGGGTCAGAATTTAAGGAGACATTTACTCTCACCCGAGTCTGGGTCCTGCCTGGGCACAGGAAACATTTCCAGTAAACCCTTGCTCAGGAACCCACAAACAAGACACGGAACAGCTGAGGAGCCCCCCAGCTTGCTAGGGGTCGGCCGCTGGTGCGCGGGCAGCAGGCCGAGGCCCGCAGCTGCTCTTCAGAAAATAGCAGGACCTCGTCTGTCTGCAAACACGAGCTCATCGGGTCAGGCTTCCCTCAGAAAAGAAGGAATATGATGAAACAAAGATGTGCGGAAGGAAAAGCAGTGTGGGGAGATGTCCTCAGAGCACGGATGGGTTCAAATCATTGAGAAATCCAAATTCATGAGCAGCAAGTCCTAGAGTTTTCTGAAGCGTTGAGGAGGCTGCTGTGGATGACCAAGCTCCGAAAGCTTCTAAAATTCCTAGACTGGAGTTAGAGACCAGGTTCTTTAAATTTAATTTAATGTGATTTTATATATTTTTACATCATTGTTCATTTTTGCACAGCGTATGCGTTTTCATCCTGCCGGGGTTTCCTGTGTTCCCGAAGCCAAAGTCACTTCTAACCTCCCAGGCGTGAACAGCACTCGAGGACGGTCGCGGCCACGCACGCGGGAGGCGCTCGGCCCCTCTGCTCGGGGCTGCTCTTCAGGCACACATGTCCCCGCGGCCTCCTGCCACCTCGGCTCGTGTTATCTTAACACCCAGTTTCACGGCGGGTCCGGGCCCAGCTTGGGCTCTGGTGGGGTTGAGGCCCCGCGTCCACCCCGCTCAGCTGCCCACTTCCCAGGTCCTGCGTCCCCAGCGCAAAGGCCCCTCGGCCAAGGGTTGAGAACAGCAATAATTAAGGAGGCCCCAAGGCCGGGGAGCCCTAGTGGGCTCAGTGGACTCGTTGCGGACCCGGCCTGGGGCTGAGGGAAGCCTGGCTCTCCCCGGGGAGCCCCGTCACCGGATCCACGAGTGGCTCGGCCCGGCCCTGTCCACGCAGGCCTGGGACCTGCCCCTCGGCCCTCCCAGGGAGGACCGGAGGGCGGGAGAAGGAGCACAGTAATCTGAGCACATGGACACATCCTCAAGGGTCCATGCGGCCAGATTAAATGGTCAGTTCAGAGGCCACTGGCCTCTCCCAGAGGTGCTTATACAGTAAATCTATAGTGATGACCAGCCAAGGAGTCTGACCTGTGCTGGGAAAGAGGAAAACCTGATTCAATATTTATTGAGGTTTTGAATTTTAGTGTCTCACTGTTGGTGAGTCTGGGGTGTGAATTCTGGTGAAAAGGTGAGCCCATGCTTCCACGGTGTGTGTGCCGGGAAGTGTCCACGCTCACGCTCATGTGTCTTTTTAATAATAGATTCTCGTAATTCACCACCAACTTCTGACAGAGGCAAGAGCATCCTCTAAAGTGACGATGGAGAGAGTTGACTTGGGCTTAATGGCTTCGACCAGGCTTGTGGATTCTGCACATTTCCCTTCTATGTGTCAAGGGACATGGTTTTGCATTTATTAAAATCACAACTAAATATTAATGTGCACGGAATTAGCTTCATGATCGACTTCACTGTCGATTGAGGAAAATACACATTCAATATCCCTTTAGACAAAATTCCAGAAAACATGGGGAAATTAGAATGAACCATAGATGCAGGGAGTTCAGACCATTTTGAAATGAGATGAAACTTAATCTTAAAGGAAATACCAGGGGCATCTCTTATTTACTGATGCCATCACTAGGCAAAGGTGGCATCCAGACCCCGGTGAAGAGGCCTGTGGTTTCTGTCTTCAATTTGTGAGCAGATAATTTGCAAGTGCAAAGTCACATGAGCCAAAGTCACTTCTAACCTCCCAGGTATAAACAGCCCTCGAACAGATTAAGTAACTCAAGAGTGAACGTTCACATTCTACAGGGAGTAGAGTAGGTAAAATAACTCTTCATTTTCAGCTTTCACTTCCCTAGAAACACAATCTTCCATGCTAGGGTTATTGTTCTACTCAAAGTGGTAATAAATTCGAAATACCTTTTCAGTGTCACTAAATGAATAATTGCTTAGGCATAAACCCTCAGGGAGGGACTGATATAAACAAACCTACCCAATTAAAATCAGAATATGTTATGAAACTCTGGTTGAGACCGTAATGTAATTAACAAAAAAAATCAGAAATAGACGTCCAGACCTTTTCTCTACATGTTGAACTTTACAAACATTTAATGACTCAGCTTTATTGTTTCTTAATGTCGCCACCATAATGTTTTCATACATAAATCTGGGTCTACTAATTTATTACTAAGGCCAACTGTGCTTCCTGCGGCAGGCATGGTAATGCAGCGATGGTAAGCCATGGACGCCCCAGTGTTGTCAAGAGGTTAGACCTCTGGCACAGCGGGCTGGGATATGGGTACAATCTGTGGTGAAGCAAATGAAATCACTTAGTGTAGGAAATCCATGATCAGAGTCTTAACAGCACCCTGCAAAGAAAAAATCGGGGACTATTTAAAAATAATAAGTCAATATATAGGCGATTGGATCATTTTTAAGTTACCCACTGAATTAATACACAAAAGGCAGAGATTCTTTGAGAAACTGATAAACATTCATTCACTCATGCAATCACTCATTTATTCGCCGGTGTGCATGAGCGCGCTCTGTGCTGAGGATGGAACAGCGGCTGTACAACTAACTACTGGGGGGTAAACCAATTTTATGCCAGCCTGACTTACGCTTATTCAAACAATTTAAACCAAATAAAATCTCTCTGTGTAACTCTTGAACCAAACTCCAAACTTATAAACTAATCAGTCTTCAAGACTTTAGTCTGAAATAGAAACTGCCTTTAAAGATCTATTGTTCGTGGAATAACAACAACATCACCTCAAAACTGGTTAAAGACAGCTGGGATCTAGGTCACTGGAGTCCATGCACATCCTGCAATAGTTCAAAAGTTCCTTTTTAAAAACGTCTTTTCATTTTAATCATTTTTTAAAAAGATTTATTTATTTATACAAGCACTGGGAACAGTCAGAAGCACGGGAGGGTGATCGCCCGCGGCCGGGGATCAAACTGGCGCTGCTGAGGCTGCGGGCAGCTTTGCAGCCCAGCGCTCAACCGCTGCGCCACTGGCCACTGGGGAGGCCCTTCGTTTTAATCATCTTGATACTGAAATTCAAAGCATGATTTTCAAGTGGACCAGGAGAACAGACAAATTATCCATTCATGAACAGCATCCTGAATAGAGTGTCCAGCACATCTGTATGCACACTGTACACCACACGTGCAGACGACGTAGTAAACAGTGCCTGTATCCTCTGAGCCAGGTCTCTGTGAGGCTTTAGTTTATAATAGTTAATTTCTTGTGTGTTATAGACGATATGTACACCAGACACACATCAGGAGTACAGAGAAGCAAATAGAGTAAATGAAATCAACTCAGAGAGAGCCACTTAAATAATGTTTGTCTCCACCCTTCCAGATTTTTAATTTAACTGTAGAAAAACTTCGGGTGCTTTTGGAAAACTGTTTCAACTACTGACAAGATCACGTCAGTGAAATGCTGCAAGATAAAATGTATGACTTAGTTGACACCAGGTTTTAAAAATTACATAATCTTCCAAGGAGACACACACATATCACCTGCTGAATTATTCTCTTTAAATATCTTTAATAAAGTTTCTAAGCCAATGGTGAATGTGCTTATCTAGTAATTCACCTGTTAAATTTGTAGCCAAGTCGGCCACACATGTCCCGCTGTCGCTCAGTAACAAAAGCAGTGATGAAAATGGAGAAACAGCAGCACCACCAGCCACTGCTCTCTGAGCACTTACGATGGACCAGTCAACTTGATAAGCAATTAAAAATACAAATAAAATGACTTCTAAAATATTTCAGAAGATGGCATCATTCAAGAAATAGTTTGGTTTTGATTTCTCTCTAGAAAATTGAGCTAGCCCAAGAGTCTGGAAAATTCAAGCCACCAGCCACTGTTAGCTGGAGAGCTCTCCCTTCTTTGTCCACGCCCTATAGTCCACGCCCTATCAATAATTAAGCTGTCCCTTGAGGCCACCAGGATGCCATTTAATTCTTCTGCTTTGCAAAATTTCCA